ATACTACCATATCACTAGGAATTTTGTTACATCAGGATAGCTCTGCCAGGTTGTTCAAAGCACTCAAGAGCTAATCCTCGATAACAGCAAATTTTCATCTCTGTTATGTAACTTTTCAGTGAGGTTTTCCAGTTATGTGTTTTGATCAGGAGTTTTAATCTCATGTATCAGGGGCACCCAACGAGGATATAGTTCAAAACCACTTAAACATAGCATTGTTAAACGTATTTTAGTATTTAAACCGTAGATATAGGTATATTTTTATCCCCTAGAAATTTTCCATCTGTTCGGATTTCCTAGCTGAAAGTCTAGTGATCTGAAAATTATAGGGATCAAAACTTACCTTTCCTAAAATTTCAGCCAGAAAAAAGGCTCCCGAAAATTCAAGGTGACCTTTTAAGGGTAAAAATCCGTTAAAAGTGGGCAATTATAACATTTTTTAGATGTTCGAAAATCCTAGGAGAGGCAGGCAAGCAAGAAATTTTACAGCAAATGTTCCGAAAATTCTAGATCGCAAATCGTCTTCCGAACAGATATTTTCCGAAAATTGTCTTTGGGTGCCCCTGATGTAGTCACATGAGATGGAGATGGCTAGAAACTTTAAGGGAAAAAGTCTAGAGAAAAATTAAAAAATCATGATGAGCATAAATCAGCTTTCAAACAACCTGGCTCAGTTTTCTAGTCTCCTTTTTCTATAATTTTCAATAACCCATTGTCTAGCTGGTGTTTAATGAATAGCCCTTATGCACGACCACATCAGACAAGCAAATTTCACCACCAAGCCTCGTTTGTAAGCACAGTAGCGCAGTTTTTTTCCATTTGCACTCTTTGTGCATGGGTATTCTTTTCAATTCTACTGCCTTGGGAATTCATTATTTTGTGCAAAACTTCGCAAACTTGCAATTTCAAAACGAGTCTTGGTGATGAAATTTGCTCGTCTGACTTAAACACGTATAACGGTTATTGTAAATCTTTTAAGCCCCAATAGTGACCAGCATGTAATGTCTCCTAACAATACCACTGCTGATAAAACATACATGTCATGAGAACAGAAGCATATAAGTTATATGCTTCTGATGAGAATGAATGAAATGATCACCAAAGATGAAATGTCTTGATGTTTGAGTAAATGCTCCCTGGCAGTACCATAAGAAATATGGAGAGAGTAGTAAGGCGAATATACATCTTGATATTGGGGCTTGAAGGGTTAAAGTGCAAGGAACTTAACACGTGCCACCCAACATTAATTGGCCAATCACAGGCAATTTTCACAGCAAAGAGAATGCCATTTTTTTGTTCATTTGCCAATCAAAATTGATATTTTGTTGGAAATTTAAATTATTGATCGCCCTGTTATATTATTCCACAATTTTTTGTGGTGTCAATGTAATTATTCGAAGTTCAAAGCTTCAAGTAACCCTACACAGCAGTTGCTGCAATGATTTTTTTTGTATGTATGTTCCATGTGGATAAAGGAGCATTGGCACCCTTAAACTCACACTGTCATTGACTTGTGTGCATACGGTGCTGACAAATTAATTTTAAAAAGTGGTTCAAGTTACATTTTCTGTCAAGTAATTTTGCATGTGCAAAGCTCCTAAATCAATTCCAAGTTTATTTGAAACAAAGTTATTGCCAATGGCAGAAATATGGAAGTACAACTTCCCTCTGTATAATTCACTGTGTCAGTTGTCTCTTAGGCCATTATAATTGACTGTTATTGTATACGTTGTGTAGATTTAGTAGCATTGAAACAGACAGCCCCATCAAGTCTTGCATGTGATGTTAATGTTTTCTCAGTCATGGGAAAACAAGGACTTAACCATCCAAGAATATATAACGTGTTCCAATTTTAATAACTATTCTGCACATATAGCAAGGGTATAAAGGTTTTGAATATACCAATACGGATTTTATGTTACTGTTAACATAGGCTTTTTTTTTTTTAAATTTTCACATTCTTTGGGTGACTTTGGTGAAGGTACTTTTGGCAATTCTGTTTGATGGCCCATTTCTTAACAATCATTGTAATGTTAACTTTGAACAAGTTGTCTCTAACATGTAACAGTATAAAAGAACTGAAGTCAGAAAGAAAAGTATGAGAGTTAAAAATGTAAATAAATACTTATTTGAATCTCAGTATGAGTCATTGTTATTGTTTCTTCATAAGCTTTGATTGCATCATCCTCATATTTGCACCCATAAGTCACTGCTTTTGTGTTGACTTTAAATAAATGTGGATAACACAATAGATTTAATCACTGACTGGGATGGCTGAGCTGGGTTAACGTTTGTGTGGTACACTGCACCTTGAACTGCTGCTTGGTATAGAAGCTGGTTTCAAGGACTAAATAACTCAACAAATCCGTCGCTTCCACTGGAGGGAGACAGTCCGAGCTGAAATGTTCGTCGGGAATAGTAATGGGATCTACAGCAATAACAGCGACTTTCCATCAAGGCTTTTGCAATAATCCGATATTATCGGTACCTTACTACAAAGTTCATCAACATTACTACTAAGTTCATCGACGGACGAAATACATTCATTTTCAGCAACCTCCATTGCACTCTTCAGGCAATGGCATATGTAAATACTTTAAACAAGCCCGCGAAGGGATGCCAACGTGGCGGATTCCCAAATATGAAAAGGTCTCTGACGTCACGAGTAAACCAACAAGGTTTTCCCTTGGGGTTTTTACTGCAGAGCTGAACTAATTTGTATGCAACGGTGGGCTTGTTAATTCGCATAATTAACTGACTAACGGGGCGTGAAACTACAAGACTTAGGGTTAGGGTTACGGTTTAGGGTTAACGAAAGCCATGGTGATAAAAAGTGAACATAATTTTCCAAAAAGCGAACTCGAAGAAATTGTTTCCTTAGCAAAGCAACCGCAAGAAAGATAACGCTTTCGAAAACTGCCCGCTGTTATTTTAAACACATGATAGATACTACATGAACCAATCAATATTAAAAGAGACCGGGCAAGCCTATGGTGCCTATTGTATTACAGAGACGCTCATTACATATAGACAATCGGCGACAAAATTAGTTGAGACACCTCCGGAAAAAAGACATCTTATGAGCATGGTTTTATTTTTTCTTTTTTAAAAAGGTGTGAAATACCTTTCAATGGTCCCCCCTCCCCACTCCCCCTATTCAGTGTTGTACCGCTGGCCTTAAGGTTTGTGGGCACTCGGAGACGACCCAACAATGTCAAGGGGGGAGGGGTGGGAGGACCCATTCTCAGGGTAGCTCAAAACACCTCTTTTTAGGAAAGTGTCTCAACAATTTTGTCGCCGATTGTCTGAAGAACAAAATAGATGTTAGAGTGTCGAAAAAGGTTACAAGATGTGGTTTGTTGGCGACAATAAGTGCAAAGCATGCAGGTTATTAGTTTCTCACGCGATGTGAGGTAACGCAGGAATTAGAACGTTGAGAATCGTAATGTTTCATTCCATTATGGTGATGTAACAGAGGCCTTGACTGTCAGGAGACGAGAAAAAAGGATGGTTTTCCGTAAAAAGATTCCCGAGGAGACAAGAGCTTTTGTGCGATTTACCGCGAATTCCAAACGTTGGTCAGTGAAAGAAGTATTAGAGAAAACGCATATTTCCCGGGCTTCGCTATATCGCATTCGTCATAAAGACAGTTTCCAACAAAGACAGCCAAGGAATGAATGTCAATTAGAACGAAGAAAACCCGGTCGCCCTCGAAAATTAACAACACGCGAGGAACGCCTACTGTTGCGGGAAATTCCACGTCTACGGAAAGAGGAGGGTCAGTTCACGGTTAAAAGACTTATGCTTCAAGCTGGAATAACAGCACTACAGGTCTCTAACCGAACTGTCCAGCGTTTTTTACGCAGGGAAGGTTTCCAGTATTTGCAAGCGCGTAAGAAAGGGGTCTTACTGGAAGGAGATCTCATAAAAAGGAAACAATTTGCCAAAAAGATGAAAAAGGACTACGATCAGCATGTATGGCAAAACAGCATCTCGTTTTTTTTGGATGGTGTCAGCTTTATCCATAAATATAATCCACTTGATCAAGCCCGGGCGCCCAAGGGACGTATTTGGAGAAAACCACGTGAAGGTCTGTCTTATGGGTGTACTGCTAAAGGAACCCATTGTGGAAGCGGGGGAAGGGTAGCTAAATTCATGGTAGCTGTTAGTTACGGAAAGGGCATCATACTGTGTGAACAGTACGAGACATTAAATGGGAGGTATTTTCAATCCTTGGTCGAACGTGAATTCCCAAGAATGTTCACTATAGCAGACAAAGAAGGGCGCAGATTTTTCCCTCAGGATGGTGACCCAAGTCAAAACAGTGCTTTAGCTCGCGCGGCCTGGCGAAAAATGGGTGCAAAACTTTTATCTATCCCACCAAGGAGTCCCGATATAAACTGTATAGAAAATCTATTTCACATCGTTAAGTAATTGCTGGAACAAGATGCTATTAAGTATAACATAACGTTTGAAACTTACGAGCAATTTTCAGAACGGGTCGAAACAACTATTCGAAATCTGAACACTGACATTATTAATAAAACGATCGAAAGTATGGATAACAGAATGGACTTGATCATTGAAAAGAAAGGACAGCGTACTAAATATTAACTGTTTCAGTAACTGAAACGCGTCCTGTAAATAACTAATCTCTGAACTTACAAACGTGGAACTTGTGGCTTGGAATAAAGTCACGTGAATTAATGTCGCGTGACATGTAACATGACTATAAATGCTGATGCGTTTACAACTTGTTTCATAGAAAATAAAACAATTCGCCGCTAACAGCAAGTACAACTGATAATTCCCTTTGGAAAACAGCCGCTCAAACCGTTCTTATGCGAGGTTTTGAGGATTTTCGACGAGTAACCACGAGTAACTACGAGTAACCGTGTAAATGAAAAAAGAAAATTAATTAAATTATCTTTTAGAACTGAGTTGGTTACACGTGGTTACTCGTGGCCAGTACCTCTCTTAACTTCATAAAAGCGGTATTTTTAATCCCAAGAACATTCCGAGTCCCCAACAATAAGCTCGGCAAAGCATCGACCACAAGGTGGTAGTTCTTTTTGCTGGGAACTAGAAATTTGATAGTGAAAGGAATACGTTTTCCAGCGAACAGCCATCATGTCTGTTTCCAGCTCGTCTAATACACCACTGCGGATGTAAACAAAAGAACCTTTTGCAGTGGCAAAGATCGGTGTGTCAGATTTGAATGTAAGGTCTTTCGCATAGTGTGTTTTTGGAGCCGGTAGGTGAACTAACTGGCCCTCCAATAACAACAAAAAATCATGCCAGGGTATAATGGACGATGACCACCTGAAGTCATTAAGAAATATGCACTCAGCTTTCTCCGCGCCTACCCACGCAAAACTGCCAGAGGCAGGGTTCGAGAAGGTATTATAAATCACATTCAAAGGATTCAAAAGAAATGTTTTGGCGCAGTTTGTAGGACCGATTAACATTATATTGCGATGTTTTCCTCTCCCTTTCTCTAACAAAGTGCGAACTGACTGTGCAAACCCGGACACTGAAATATCGTTGCGACTTAAAACCTCTTTAGCACTCGTTACCCACCGCCCATGACAATCAGGGACGCATTCCTGATGTAGAGAATCATAAAGCAACTGTAATCGGGACTTTTTTTGCCTTTGTAGAGTTTCTTGGGAATTCTCCATGTCCCATGCAGTTTGCAAAACTTCCGCAACGACTTTCGACCCGCGATTCAAAACAAATTCTGCTTCGTCTGTTTTGCCTTCAAGTTTTTGCTCTCTAGCAAAAGCAAGTAACTCGGTATACGATTTAATTTTTTTGGCTACTACAATTTCGGCAAGTTCATAGGAAGACATTCGCTTTTTACGATTAGTTTTTGTGTTTTTTTTCTGCCCGTGATCTTCGCTGCTTTCTTCATTGCAATCCGAGGAGTCATCAGGAACCGGTTCCGCGCCATGACTTCCGGTTGAATGTGGTTTATTGGCGAATGATGCCCTCGTAGTTTTAGGGGGCCCATCACTGAGATCCGGATGTCCAGGACTTTGAACAAACTCCTTGTCTTGCTTGGTCACATATTTCCAGGCACTGAAATAATTTCTGTGAATGGCTGAAAAGTGAACGGATATGCCGCAGCGTTCGTAAAGAAACCTTTTGCTTGGTAGCCATCGCTGATTTTTGTCGAGTTTTAGGGCCATGTGAAAATGACTTCCGCCGGACTTTGGATGTTCTTCCAAGCAGCAGCACCAGTGCATGATTTTCGCTGGTGTATCATGAAACGAATACAAAACGGCCTCTACAAATGAATGTCGTGTTGGAAAGCGCACAACGTCGGCCTGGCTATAAGTAATCAGATAAACTTTCCGCACACTTCGAACATCGATTTCATCGTTGGGATTAGCTGCTTTACTTGAATAGTCCAAATCAGCTCGACCAGCATTGTCGGTACCCTCTGAAGAAGATGAGTCAGATTCGTAATCCCTTATGAGATTCATGTCGTAATAACTCAGTGACACCATACAAGCAAGAAACGTGACTCGATGAGTCCTGAGGAAAACAACCTCCTCACGTGACGTCGTCATCAAATGTCACGCCGCTCCCCTAAAGAAAGTGATTTTACTTGTTCCTGAAGACAACTTTTCACAAGCGGGATATATACCCTACCTGTTAAAAACCGCACACGGATACCGTAGTATCCACCAGCTTTCGCGATTTATCCCGCTATAATAGGGGGTGTAGAGCCTTTTCCCGCTCTCAGACAATCGGCGACAAAATTAGTTGAGACACCTCCGGAAAAAAGACATCTTATGAGCATGGTTTTATTTCTTCTTTTTTAAAAAGGTGTGAAATACCTTTCAATGGTCCCCCCTCCCCACTCCCCCTATTCAGTGTTGTACCGCTGGCCTTAAGGTTTGTGGGCACTCGGAGACGACCCAACAATGTCAAGGGGGGAGGGGNCTTATTAGTATGGAGGAACGCACTTATTAAAATGGAGGAAAGGCACATAATTAGTATGCAGGAAGGCACTAAATTAGTATGCAGGAAGACACTAATGCATATCAATAAAGGAAGGTACCAAACAACCGGAAAATGACCCTCTATTACTACTCACGTTTCAGACGTGTATCCCTTAGGATGCCATCCAACGCAATTTCATTAAAATAATTAAAAGGTACAGAGATACAACAAGTGTTCCCAAATCTTGGCTACCAAACAGGGTGATTAGCTGCATGTACTCTATATTGCGATACCAAGGCTCGTTGTAATTTAAACACTCACATCAGCGCCGTATGTCGTTTTAGGTAGAAGATTATGAAATGAAGTATACTGCAGTGTCACCTGCAAGTAAATGTAGAAGCATAAGATTTTTGTGATTTCCCATACGCAATATATGTTCAGGTATAGCTAAACTAGAAATAGCAAACTAAGGCGAATAGAAAAACTTGCAATTCGCTTAAGTACATGGTGAGGACTGAATCATTATCCTGTAATGTGTAACACTAAGTGGGATGGAGTAAGCCAATGCAGCGGAATTAAAGCAGGCTACAGGTTGACGGAATCACAAAAAGTACAAGAGGAGGTGCAGTGGGCAAGGTTTGCACATATCAAGTCGAATCATAATCACCGAAAACTGCAATAGTGAAGCCGAATCAAGTTTCTGAAAAGGAAATGAACACCAGAACCTACACTGGTGATGCAACCAACCTACCTTTCGCTGAAAAATTACGTGTTGGCGAAATATTCTCCCGTTGCATCTTTCGTATTTGCTCAATGCCACAAAGTATGTAACCACTACGCTGGAATTGTGAGCTGGCGGATCCCAGTTTATAGTCACATTATAAAATGGATAGTCATCTTTTGATGTTAAAGGAATAGCAGCTCTGATATTTCTGACCGGTTTGCCTTGTATTGGCGCCACTGTAGAAGGTATACCTAAACAAATAATATATAGATTTAGCCAGGGCTAAAAGCGAAGCCTCCGTTTACGTACTTATAGGAAAAGCAATAAAAGGTAATAAACTCTAAGCCCCTAAAAAGAATCCTCCTTTTGAGGGAGGGGCTAGGTGATTAAGAAAAAATATCCCGCAAACGCACCTGAAATAAAAACCCTCCCATCAAGTTAAAAGTCTTATGTTTACAGCAAAAAAAACAAACAAACAAACAATCGTTTTAATGCACGATACTTTTCGATGGCAGCCAATTTGCAGGTTACGATTTCTAGAGTCAATATTTCTGCCTAAAGGAAAGACCTAAGAGAAAAATCTGGCCAACTTTTGTGTTCGCCATAAAACTATTGTTTTCTTTCTATCGGGCCCGTACGAACAGTTATGGGTAAACTAGCTTTTACCTTTATGCATCACAGTATCTTTAAAGAAATACTGTAAGGTACCGTTTGTTTTCTTTGGGGACAGACCTACTGGACAGCAAATAACCTATTTAACCATTTCGGTTACTAATATGAAACTGTAAATTCTTAAATCAACACAAAGTGTGCGGTTTGTGTTCAGGACGTATTGTATAGTGCACTCACTGAGAAAACACACACAACATAATATAAATTCTATTTATACTCGAATTTTAGAGTAGCTAACATTAACAAGCTAACATCTTCGAGCTGACACTACATAAAAAATAATATGTAAATATATATATATATATATATATATATATATATATATATATATGTATTAAATGCATTATAGGTAATAATAATAATAATAAACACATAGAAGAAAAGAAAAGAAAATATTATTTACAATTCACAA